ATATATATATACATATACATATGTAGAATGAAAGGGCAAAGCCTGTAAATATGGGGCAAAGGCAAATCTGGTGAACTTACCTTAGTGGCAGCCGGAGCTCACTACCCCGCCTTCGAAGTCCAGGCGGTGGCCTGCTGGGCTGCGCAGGCAGAAAAGCAGCGCAGCGGGAGGGTACTCTGACCTACTCCTGCGGGAAAGCAATGAACTCCTAGCTGGAGAGCTAACCGAGCCTGCAGCTTAGCCGGGGTCGACCTACTTAACTAGAAAGGGCGGCCATAGACCCTGAACGGGACGCACTCGGATTGGCGGATACCGGTATTGTTTCAAAGGAGACTCTTTTGTGATTGGCCAGGAGAGTCAAGCGGGAACCTGGAGGTGGGGGGGTGGCGAGAGGGGGCAACAAACTTGTTACCCAGGCAACAGAGAGACGCACAGCGATCGGCAGTCTATTTTCGGAGCCTAGCGGGCCATCCTTGACCAAGGTGAGGAAACGCGAACCTCAGGAGGGGGAAAGACGGATCCTCACATGTTGTGTCTGCCAGAGAAACTAGGGACTACTTTATGTACTTAAAGACTATGAGAGCTAGCCCCGACAGCCCTAAGCTGCTCAAAGTCGAGGCAAGTCCCACGCTCCTAGACCCTCGAAGGAGGATATTACCTCAAGGAAAATGCCTTCTCTCAGGCTTAGGTAGCTGTTCCTCAGAAGGGATGGGTACTGACAAAGGCAAACAAGAACGTCTAAATGTTTCCCAAGTTCCATTTCTCAAATCTCACACTTAAAGCGCTCTCCCTTCCCAGTTAAAAAGGGGATAGCGCAGGGTTGGGAGGGCATATCAGAGGAACCATTTGTCCTCGTCTCTGCAGTGATCCCTCACAGAGCGACCCAGAAACCAAAGACTTCTGGCTGAACATGGCAGCTCTGACGGAGGCCCTGCAGAGCCAGGCTGAGCAGAATCCCACCGCCTCCTACTACAACGTGGTGCTCCTGCGGTATCAGGTGGGCAGGGGCAGGACGGGGCGTGCTGGCATATGCAAATCCAGAGGCTAAGTCCCGCCCACACCCTTGGCTTTGCTGAGTAGTGCGCTCTCCTGCTGGCTGCTGGCTGCAAGGTGTATTACCTTGCCGGGTGGTCACCTGTTCACCTCCTGGGTTACGGCGGGGGGTGGGGGGGGGGGGGCGGGGAGGGGGGGGTAACGCTTTTCGGTTTGGAAAACAAAATGGCTCTTCTCAGTATGTAACAATGTGTGTGAGAGAATTTCAGTGGCCTGAGAGTTCTGAAGGAACTTGGTCACATACTTGGGGCGGAGAGCTGCACTTTGATCTGCACTTAGTGGGCCAGATCGTAGCTTACAACTTGTACCTTAAAAACATGCAGATTAGGAAAGTATTTTGTCATTTAACTATGCCTTTGAAAACAGGGTATTGGGACAAATAATTAAATCTGAGGAAGTGGCGGGAACCAATCATTTCTTCTAAGATTTTCCTGCTGTGATAAGGATTCAGAACACAGACTACAAAAGTAAACAAAACTGGCTTGCTGACCTTGGGAGTACATTTCAAAGTACTGAAAGAAAATTTACCACTCATCTTTTTAGCTAGAACTGGAACATGAGAACTAAAAAAGAAAAGAAAAATGATTGCCAAATAGATTGTCTGAAATGTACTATGGCCGCATATCTTGTCCACTTTTCCCGAGATAGGATCCCAGTATATTGACTAGGCTTCTTGGAATTTAGGATCTTTCTGCCTCAGTGAATCCCAGTGTTAGAATTTCAGTCATACTACACAGGCTTTGATGGGTCAAGACAAAGCCTCTACAAGCTAAAGTCTGGGGACTGGGAGACATGGCACAGTGGTTAAGAGCAAGGGGGCTGCTCTTCCAGAGGACCTGGCTTCAATTACCAAAATGCAGATGGAGGTTAACAACAGTTATTAACTACTGCTCCAGGGTATCAAACACCCTCTTTTGGCCTTTGCCGGCTTTGTATGGGGGGCTGCACTTACATACATGTAGGCAAAGCACTTATACATATAAAATAAAAATAAATAAACTTAAAAAAATTTTAAATAAGATTTGGGGTTGGAGAGATGACTCAACAGTTAAGAGCAGGAGCTGTTCTTAGAGGACCTGGGTTCAATTCCCAGCATGTGCATGGCAGGTAATAACCGTCCTTAACACCAGTTGCAAGGGATTCAACTCCCTCTTCTGATCTCTATGGGCATTGTACAACATGAGTGAACTTACATACATGCAAATAAAAATAATATTTAAAAAAACTAAGGCTTTTCATCTCTGTTTAAAAACTCACCTTTCAAATGGATAGACAGATGAGAGGGATCTAACTAAACCGTAAGTGGATGGACTTGCAGTGGGAATGTCTGGGAACACTGTCTTGACCGAGTAGGCCTTAATACCTAGGACAGAGTATATGGGTTCCAATGGGGGGGGGGGGGGAATGGGAGGGTGCTGGTGGGGATGGGGCTATGAAGATGAATTAGAGTGTTTGAAATATTCTGTATGAAATACAACAAAATTTAATAAAAACAAAAATTTAAAATAAATAAATAATTAATTAATTTTAAAAAACCTCAGCTTTCAAGCTATGCTCAGTGGCATACTTATGTGCTACCAGCTGCTAGAGAAGCTGAGGCCAAAGGTTCCCTTGAGCCCAAGAGTTCAAGATGAGCCTGGCCAATATACGGAGATCCAGTCTCACAATGAAACAAACCAAGATAATTTTAAAAAGATGATAGAGAGTCCATATGAAAAAATGATCTACATAAAGAATAGACACAGGAATTATTAAATCAAAAGTAGAATATATATATATATATATATATATATATTTAGACAGTCTCCTAGTTATGTATCCCTGACTTGTTTGGAACTTACTATGTAGACCAGGCTGGCCTTGAACTCACAGAGATCTGTCTGCTTCTGTCTCTCCAGTGCTGTGATTAAAGGTGTGTGTGTCATCACACCCCGCCAGAAGCTTATGTTTTTATGTTTAAGACAGCATGCTGCCACTGAGCTGTATCCCTCAGTACTCCTTTTAATTTTTACTTTGTATTTTGAAACAAGGACTCACTAAGTTGTCCAGGCTGGCCTTCAACTCACTGTGTGCTCCAGACTTGTGGTTAACTGCACCAGTCTCCTGTGGTAGCCACACCACAAGTCCTGGCTTGCATTTGGATGTGTGAAAGATTCCTTGTATTTTCTTTTTTTTTAATTTTATTTATTATTTTTAATTTATGGTATGAGTGTATTGCCTACATGTATGTGAGTGCACCCAAATGCCATGGAGGTCAGAAAAGGGCTTCAGATTCCCCTGGAACTGGAGTTAAGGACGGTTCGTAGCCTCCATGCAGGTGTTGAGAATCAAACCAGGGTCCTCTTCAAGAGCAGTCACTGCTCTTAACCGCTGAGCCATCTCTGCAGCCCCGATTCTTTGTACTTTCAAAAAGTTTTCTGTGACATATGTTTTAAGTTTATGACAAAAACCTGCTCAGTTTCCATAGTTATATCTTCTATTTTTATTGAATTTTGTGCATTTTGTACAATAAATCTTAATTATATTTAGACCTCTTCCCCCATCTGCACCTCGTATAACCCCCTTGCTGGATTTCATGCATTCTGTCATATATGTTAAGGCCTATCAAGTCAAGTTTGTGTCCCCAGATGTCCCTCCATGTGAATTCATTCACTGGATGAGTAAATATTTTTGATGATAGTAAAAGTAGAATTGGTTAAAAGGAAACTATTCTTGGGTATTTTAAAGGCATGTAAAATGACTTTTTCCTATTGAACCCAGGGCCTTAGGCATGCTTAAGAACACAATCTACTACTGAACTACATCCCTAGTTCATAATTAAATTAGTTTTAATAGGCAAAGAATTCTTAATCAATATAGTTGCCAAAAAAATTTAATTATGTATATGTGTGAGTTTGTGCACATGAGTGCAGGTTCTCCCAGAGGTCAGAGATACTGGATCCCCTGGAGCTGGAGTTACAGGCCATTGTGAATCACCTGATGTGGGTGCTGGGAACCTAAGTCCAGTCCTCTGCTTCAGGAGACTGCACTCTTAACTGCTGAGCCATCTCATCAGCCCCCAAAATATTTTTGTCTGGTTGGTTGGTTGGTTGGTTGATTTTCTTTTTTATTTTTTGAGGCAAAGTCTTACTATTTAACCCTGGCTGGCCTGATTTAATTTTACAGATGTACTCAGCAAAATATCTTTTATTTTAGGATAATCTATTCTACTAATTTAACTTTAACTTTTCTCCAAGCAGTTAAAGAGCCATCCTTAGTGATACCCTGTGTAGAGACAAACAAAACAGAAAGCATGATCCCAGGCTAAGAATCAGAGTCTGACTTGATTGCAAGGCTGATTGATATTGCTCCCCTGATGTGGATCTGAAGCCTTCTTGATTAAACGTATTTAGTCCCTGACTAGATCCAGTCCTTTAGTAATAAGCTGGTTCTGGAGTGCCCGTTGTTTTAACTAGTTAACAACATAGATCCCCAACTACATTTTTCTCTCTCAAGGTGCTAAATGCTCAAATTGATGTGGGAAAATCAATGGCACTGTCTGAAATGCTGCTTTTGGTATTGGCCAGTCAAAAGAGACTAGGGAGTGAAAAAAAAAAAACCTAGAAAGTGTATTTTCTAAATGGCCACATCTCAACAAAAACATTCTTGGTTATCTCTCACTCTCTCCCTCTCCCTGATGCTTGGGATCAAACACAAGGCCTCATACATGATTATAGACAAATATTCTACCATAACTCCCACCCCACTCTTGGCCTACTTAAAATGTGCTTGTAGGGCTGGAGAGATGGCTCAGTGGTTAAGAGCACTTTCTACTCTTCCAGAGGACCCGGGTTTGGTTCTCAGCACCCATATGGCAGCTAGCTCCAGTTCCAGGAGATCTAATGCCCTCTTCTGACCTCCACAGGCATTGTACAACATAGGTGCACTTCCACACATGTAGGCAAAACACTCATATATACAAAATTAATTAATGGCGGGGGCCTGGAAAGGTGGTAAAGAACACTTGCAGTTCTTCCAGAAGATCCAGGTTCGATTGCTAGCACCCACATGGCAGCTAACAACCAACAGTCTGTAACTCCAGTTCCAGGGAATCTGACACCCTCTTTGGGCCTCTGTGAGCTTTGCACAACATGGGTGCACTTATATACATGCAGGCAGTACACCCATACACATAAAATAAAAATTAAAAATGTTTTTTAAAAGTTAAATGTCTCTTTCAGTTATGCATGGAGGAAGGACTCAGGGGGCCCAAACCCTCACTGTTGAACTATTTGCTACTGATAGAGTCTAGGATAGTGGGAGTTACTGTCATCAATTGTGTACTCACTGGTGACCCTGCCAGCACCTGTGAATAGTCTCAACTCAGTGGTCACACAAATGGCAGCTCTCAAAATAAAATCAAAAGTCATGAATCTAGGAAAGGGACTGGCATAGAGGAAAGGAGATGACAAGATGGGGGATTTTCAAAGGAAATACTTAATGAAAAAAATGCTAATGCCATGTTGAAACACAGGCACCATTGCTCTAGAATCTTTCACTTTTCCTCTTTTTAAAATCACTACACTGTACTACTCAAGTAGTCTAGTAAATGGAAGAATATCTCCAAGATCCAAAGGCAGGATGCTATAGGGTATGTTTATAATAGAATGTAAAACACATGTATGAGAAAAATGGTTGAGAAGGGCAGAAAAATTAGGTTAGGGCAACACCTGAAAGACTTTGATTGACAGACTCAAGATTGCATGTCACACTTACATATAAAAATAACTAAATAACATTGCACAGTT